TGCTCTGCCCGCAGACTCGCCGGGGCCTGGGCCTGCTGGACCTCGCTCCCAGCTCTAAGAGGCAGCTGAAGCCGGCAGCTGGGCCTGGCCACCCCATCTTTTCCCTCAGCCCCCCGCCCTTCAGGAGCCTCCTAATAAAGGCCGCCCTGTTGCAGCTCCGCTGTCTGCGCCCTGACTGGGGAGGGAGGTAACCCACAGGTGTCGGCAGGTGCTTTGGCCCAGAGGGGCTGGTGAGTGCAGGGGCCAGGCGATGGCAGACGCGGGCAGTACTTCACATTTATTGAGGGCCTGCCCCCCAAGGAGTTCACAGCCTGGGGACTAAGCCCCACATGTGCTGGGGTGGGGGGGAAAGGAAGTCAAGGCAAAAAGGCAAGCAATGCAGACACCGTGGCTGAAGCAAAGGGGGTGCAAAGCAGGCACAGGCAGGGGGCCTGGGGTGGGCAGGGGGTGGCAGCTTGGCAAGTCCTGCCTGGGGACCTGACCAAGCAGAGGCTTGAAGGCTGCCCCGCCCCTACCAGGGTGGGGTCACCTGGGGGTGCAGTAGAGGTACCCTAGCTCCTCCGCCTACTGAGCCAGGTCCCACCATCGTGTCGGCCCTCTCCACCCAGTGCTCCGACATGCAGACCCCTGATGGAAAGCAGGCAGCGGGGGTCTGGGGCCCTGGCCACGATGGCAGGACGGAGGTGGACCTATGAGGGGGCAGCTTGAAGCCTTGATGGTCCTAGGCCCCTGGTAAGTCCCCAAGGAACTTCTTGGGCCAGCTAAGGAGGGGAGGGAGGCATGAAGGAAGCAGAATCCCAATAAACAGGAAGGGGCCCCAAGAGGCCTAGCCCCTCAAAACTGCTGGGGAGGCGGACAGGTGAAAGGCCGAGAGGAACCCACCTGGGGGAGGGGTCAGCCAGACACAGAGCATCCAGGCGGGCAGCAGCAGAGCAGGGACACGCACACAGGGCTCACCACCAGCATCCCCTTTAATAAAACGTGAAGGTTGTATGACAGGGAAGGGGGAGTGAAATATGACCATTTACAACCACACAAAAACCTCTGTACATGTCTAGTGCCTGGCAGAGGGGAGGGCAGCAGGGCAGCGGCGGGCAGAGCCAGCCCTCTTTGTAGAGGATGTCGTAGTGTCCAGGCCGGTAGAGAAGGTAGACCTTGGGCTCGGAGCCCTCGGGGAAGATGTGCGGGTTGGTGGTGGTGCCCTCGCCGCGGTCCATGTACTCCACCTGGATGGAGACGTTGAGGGCCTGGGCCAGCGCGACGTTGTGGATGTGATCGCTCTCCTTGCACATGGGCTCCACCTCCTGCAGCAGGGGTGCAGGTCAGGGCCTGGGTCTCAGCACCCCTCCCCCCGCCCCCTCTGACCCCAGGGCACTCCCCCAGGCCCCGGTGCTCCCCACCCTGAGAGGAAAGAAAAGGGAGGGCCCTGAATCTGAGAAGTGAGGCGAGGGTGGCACCTGCTGGCAGAACTCCTTGACAGTCCGCCCACCCTCAATGAAGTGCTCGAAGAACTTGCTCTCCCGCTGCAGGTAGCCAGAGGTGAGCAGCCGCAGGTAGACCACCAGGTAGTCCGAGGTGCTCTGGTCGTTGAAGGAAGCCAGCAGGTCGGCTACTGAGGTCTGCTTCTCCACCTGCTCGATCAGGTCCATGAACTGCCACCGGAAGAGAGAGAGACAAGATGAGGGAGGAGATGGGTCAACCCGGCCACGGCCAGGCCACCTCCACTCTGGCCGACAGGCAGTACGGACGGGGCTCACCGTGTTGTGGAAATCCTCAATTGTGAACTCGGTGAAGCCCTGGGACACCAGGTCTTCTTTGCTCTTGGCAGACACAGCCTTGAACCTGGTGGCAGGAGGGAAAAGGAGGGGGCATGGGCTCCTCAGCCAACCGAGTTGGGGCGCAGCCTGTTGTCTGGCCTCGGGTGGAACTGTACCTCCTAGTCATCGAGGAGGAGGAGGGGGCCCCACACCCACCTCCTTCAGTGCCAGGGCGCCCACCCTCCTCACCTCTGCAACTCCTTGCTGTCATCCAGCAGCGCCTCCAGGTGGGAGAAGCCAAAGGCTCGATAGAAGCAGTTCCCGTCGGGCCTGGTCTTGCGGATGTACGAGTACTTTTTGTGGAGGTCCTGCAGAAAGGCAGCCCCGCCCACCCGTGCCCATCAACGTCGGCCAGACCAGGGCAGGCCAGGAACCGCCCAACAAGGGCCACATCACAGCAGTGGCACCTGAGCTCCAAGCAGCCACCTGCCAGCCTTGGCCGCTGACTCTGGTGGCGGGAGTCACATGGTGACCCACTGCCCAGAGCCCCCAAGGCCTCGGGAGCCACGACGGATGTCCACACTGGTTGCATGAGTCACCAAAGCAGTCACTAGCCGCTGGCCACACAGGCTCTACCTCCAGTGCCCAAGAGTGCCTGGGCCTGCAGGGCTGTCTGTCCATAACAAGGAGCGAGTGCCTCCGTCCTGGGCCAGTGCCGCTGTCCCGGGAATCAGGCTTTCAAACCAGGAGACCAGGCAAACTGGTTCGGGTCAGGGCGCACATCCCCCGGCTCCTTCTCAACTCTACCCGGCGGCTCACAGGTACCGCCTCCGTGTGCCGTCTTCCGGTTTCCTACCCAAACGCCATGGACTTTCTTCTGTCACTCAAACCTGCCCCCACAAGTGGGCCAATAGTGCTGCCTGGCAAACAGGCCTCACTCCCTGGCTTGGACACCCTCCCCTGCTCCCTAATGGCTACTTCATACCTTCTCCACTCTCCTTTAACGGAGCCCCCCAAGACACCTCCACAATTTCCTTCCCAGCCTCTCCTTGTCCTCAGACCTGCCACTCTTCCTCATCCCTCTAACCCAGCCGTGGGCAAACTACGGTCCGCGGGCCGGATCCGGCCCATTCGGCTGTTCTATCCTCCGGCCCGCGGAGCCGAAAGAGCGGAGGGTTCTCTTGCTCTCCCTCTGCCCCTTCCCCAGCAGCAGTGTTAACATGACAATGTCGGGAAACACGGCCGCAGCTCCTCCTTCTGAGTCCAGTTTAAGAACCCATTGTGGCCCTCGAGTCAAAAAGTTTGCCCACCCCTGCTCTAACCTGTGATGGTCAGGGTCACCACCAAACCACAACACCCTTCAAGACATGGCGTGTCACCTGCCAGAAGATGGGTCACAACACATGTCCATCCACAGTGACTATCGCGCATGCACAACCCTGCTCAGGCCTGGGACTGCTTCCGCTTGTCAACTCTCTTCATGTCATCAACCTTGGGATTTAAATAGCCTTAATGTAACTCTTCGCCTGCCCTGTCTCAGGCCTGAACTCTAATTTCAGCTCACACATCCCACCGCCTCATCTAAACTCCCCGCGAGCCTGCTCCTCTCAGCCTTCCCCTCAATCAACTGCACTCCCTTTGAGCTAAAAGCCTCACACCACACCCAATCCAACGCAGACCCTTCTCACTACCTGACCTCTCCCGCCTCCTGCTGAGCTGATTGCGAAGCTTCCATCTCAGGTCTCCTTGCCTCCCCCGGCACTCAGCCTACTCTCACCCCAGCCACCTGAGCAACGCAGAAACCTGCTGATACCTTCATCTTCCTCTAAGTCCTTTCTCTGCTTGCAGCCCCATTTCCCACCGCCGGCTGCTCCCCGCTTGCCTCCACGTGCTCCTCAAACCACCCATGTACTCCTGCCCCAGCGGCCACAACCTACTCCTGTGCCCATCGGTTCAATCACTCCAACACCACCGCTCGGCTACCCCTGGCTTAGATCTGTCTTCCCACTAAGCTCCACGAGGGCAGGAGTTTGCCAGTGGTGGTCATCACTATCTTCAGGGCCCAAAGCAGTGCCCGGCCCACAGTCTGTGCTCATAAATGTTCAGACAACAGCTCACAATGCGTACGAAGAGCCCAAACCACTGCAGCTCCCAGGGAGGCCAGCACCTGCTGAGCACTGTCCCGGGCAGACGCACACGGAGGTGGTCCCTGTGAGCCGGCGGGTAGAGCTGAGAAGGAGCCGAGGGGAGCTGTTTCCCACCCGGGAGGGTAGCACCCATTATCCTGCTAACCCTCAGAGGAGCCCATTTCACAGAGCAGCCCAGCTCTGTTTAGGCTCTGCCATCTCTGCTTTCGGCACCTCCCTAGAAGCAAAGTTGGGCTCGGGCACAGCACAGAGTGGGGGTGTCAGTTCTGCACACACAGCAGGCTGACACTCAAACATGCGCTGAATGACTTGATGGGAAAGAACCCAAGACACCCCCCTGTCGATTTTACCAGGGTGGCCTAAGTGTGGCAGGAAGTCTTGAAATAAGGCCCCACTTTACTAACCAACCCGTGAGGAAGAGAGACCTACGGCTGGTTAAGCCCTGGCGCACAGAGCTCAGTGCTGACCACCGGCACCCCCAGCACCACGCTCGCCTGTGAGGCGGGGACCTCCGCCCGGGGATGCTCAGGGTACCGGGGTCACACAGCTGGACGTGGTGAAGACTCCAGCCCAGGTCTGTCAGCCCCAGGACAGTGCCTTCACCTCCCCACAGACCTTGGCTCAATCGCAAACACCCTCAGCAAGGGTCAGAGTAGACCACAGGCCACACAGCTGGATCTGGCTTGTATGTCTTGTTTGATCCACATTTTATTTTTTAAATCCTCACCCGAAGGTATTTTTCCATTGGTTTTTTAGAGAAAAAGAGAAATTTGAAGAGAAACATATCGATTGGTTGCCTCCTGCACAGAGCCCGGGCCAGGGAGGAGCCTGCAAGCTGGGTACATGCCTTTGACTGGAATTGAACCTGGGACCCTTCGGTCCGCGATGTTCTAGCCACTGAGCCAAACCAGCTAGGGCAGTGATGGCTAACCTATGACACGCGTGTCAGAGGTGACACGCGAACTCATTTTTTTGGTTGGTTTTTCTTTGTTAAATGACATTTAAATATGTAAAATAAATATAAAAAATCTAAGTCTTTGTTTTACTATGGTTGCAAATATCAAAAAGTTTTTATATGTGACACGGCACCAAAGTTAGGGTTTTTCAAAATGCTGACACAACAAGCTCAAAAGGTTCGCCATCACTGAGCTAAGGCAATCCACACATAACATTTTAAATGTGAACTACCTGCTAACTGTCAGGAACCTGGAGATTTCATATCAAAATAATTTCCGGCTTCTCTTGGGAAAACAGATCTGGCAACAACGGAGTGACGGCACCCGCTGGCCAGGTGCTTCCACTCCCTGCCGGTCTGACTCAGAGCTGCGCTGCCCATATTCACCGCTTGACCGACCACCTTCCATCACCTGGGTTACCAGCGTGGCTCTGACATGCAGAGCCCCAAAGACCCCTCCTCTCTGATAGAAGGTTCTAAGCATCTCTGCTCTTTAGGGGGAGGTGGGAAGAGTAGCACTTACTAAACCCCCAGGCTGTCAATGGTCACTGTTTACACAGACCCACTGCCACATCTCAACCTCCCAGCTCACAGAGTGAGTGGTTAAGGGACTTACCTGTTTGTAAACAAAGCAGCAGAACCTGGCACAAAGGTCTGCAGCCTCCACCCCCAGTCCCTTCCGCCCCACTGTGAGCACTGAGACCATAATGCCCACAAGCCTCTCTCTCACCCTCACAGTGCCCTCAACACCTGGGCCCACACTGACTGCAGCCCAACTCACAGACAGGAAGCCAGAGGTCAGAGGCGGGAAGGGCCTGCCAAGGACACAGCTGCTGTGTGGCAGAGTCACAATTTAAATCCAGGTCCTTTGATTCCAGCAGCCAGAGCTCCCCCAACACTCTACCCACTAAGAGGCCAGGCCCAGCAAGGAGCGTGTCTGACGTAGGCCCGCGCCCGCGCCCGCTCCCACGCCTCCTGCCCGCACAGCTGGGCTCCCACCTTGATCTTCTGTTGGTAGATGTTGTCGTCCTCAGCATACTCCTTGTACAGGACCGAGAGCTCCAGCCGCTCGGAGACCAGGGGGTTCTGCACCGCAATCTGCAGGGGGCAGGGAACCATCACGCTCTGGCAGGCGGCAGCCAGAGCACCTACACCTAAAGGAAGGCGCCGGGCCAGTCACCCAGCGGCAGTGACAGACCCCCCTCCACACCCCGCCCGAAGGCACCCAGAATCTAGCGCAGCTTGCAGAGGAAAGGGCTTCCAAAGCAGAGAAAAGCAACAGGCCTCCGACCCAGCCGATGCACCCCCATAACAGGGCCGCTGGCCACAGCCCCTCAGCCCCTCACCTCTTGTTGAATTCGGTCCTGCTGAGCCATGATGGCTTCATCATAGGCAAGACAGTTAACACCTGGAAGGAGGAAGCAGCCACGGATTACGGGGGCCCTGGCCAGCTCCACCCCAGGCCGCTGGACCAAGGACAAGAGCAGCCAGGAGGGCGGCTTAGCATCTTACACCCTGGCCCACCCACGGTGTCCCCTGGCCAAGCCCTTCCCCTCCGTGGCCCTCGTTTTCTCTTATTTGACATGCAGGGCAGCGGTGATCGCCCCAAGGTGTGTCCTCAGCCCCAACACCCGGCAGCCAGGGGAGCGCTCGGGGCTGGGCAGGCGGGCGGGG